ATGTATTTCTAGTACTTGAGACTTAAGAGAATTTATGTAATGTTATGAGTTTTCGTGGACTCATTTGTACTTTCGGTGGACTCATTTGTATTTTTGGTGTTTAAGAATTGGGACTTTATACTTTTATAGACTTTATGTAGTTTTGTACTTTTGTGATTAATAATTTTGGTTTGTATGTAATTATTTAATTATGCAACAGGTCTAAAAATCACAAAACAGGTCCATACGCAGGTCCATATGCAAGTCCAACAGGTTTTTTATTAAAAAAAATAAAAAAAAACGAAAAAATCACAAAACAGGTCTATTCAGGTCCAAACCTGGACCGAACCTGACTTTTCAGGTCTAGCCCGGAACCGGACCTGTTAATTCAGGTCCGGTCCCCGGTCCTCATAATTACCCAATTCAGGTCCCCGGTCCAAACAGGTCCGGTCCAGGTCCGGTCCGGTTTTGGACCGGTGTACACCCCTAGTAAAGGGTTGGGGTGGTGGTTGGGGGTAGTGTGGTGAATGGTCTTGGGGTGATTGGTGGGGTTGTGGTGAAATGTGAGGTTCTTGAACCTCGTCTTAACCGTTTATCTCGAAAGTGTAAGAAGGCTTCTCCTTCTCAAATTTGGTCAAGGCGAGGTTGGGTAGGGTAAAAGCTTGGTCTCTCCTACCCGATTCCTGGTGGACTATCCACCAAGTTTCACCGTCCATGGGTTGCACCCAGTTTAGGCTCCCTAAGTAAGCTAGGTCCATGAGGTTTGAGCCCACTACTTTCCTATGCCCATTCGGGTTCCATCCTAGGTATTTAATAGCAATATGGGTCACCAACCCCCAAAATAGATAGGCGCCCTAAACCTACCTGATTCGGCCGCATTAGCTGCCCTTTGAAAGTGGTTGGCAATCCTATGAGGTATGTTTAATTTCTCAGCATTACTTTTGATTAGGAATTACTTTTGATTAGGTGATACGACTTTAGCCTGTCAATTGACTCTGTACTGATGCTGGGAAACCAGAAATTGTACTACATGTACTATATAGATGTTTAAATTTACTTTTGATATTTTTTCATTTACTTTTGAAGTTAGATATATATATATGAAAAAAAAATCGAATGTGAAATATACACTAGCCTACTAGCTTAAACGGGAGAGCATTGTGCAATTTTACAAAGATGTGTGTTCGAATCCCACGTAGGTTCCTTTGTATTTACTTTAAAAAATATTTTATTTACTTCAACTTAATTTGTATCTAGTTTTAGTACTTAGAAACTTAAGCTGACTTATCCAAGGATCAAAGGTATGACAGAAGGTTTTATAATCTTATACTATATATTTAAGCATTCATAGCAATTAGAGACTGTGAATAAGCATTCCTTCTTAGCAATTTCCTAGTATTTAGAAGTAGAGCAGGTGAATTTCATTTCTATTTACTTAAATTAATATTTTATTTACTTTAACTTATTTTATATCTACTTTTATTACTAGAAACTCAAGCTCACTTATCTAAGATTTAAAGATATAAACATAATGGTAAACTAATGCCCTGGTTTTTTTATCAGTGATGTTTTCTATGTAATATTTGCCCTAGATCGAATAGTTATTGTTATCCCATTGTAGGCGTCGTTTGAAGTGCGCCTACGTTAAAAGCATGTGTGAATATGCTTGGCACTCTTAGGAAGTGGGAATTGACGTATACGATTAGGGACAAGGAAAGTAGGGAGTCGCTATCAAGTTTTTAAGGAACTTGTAAACCGTTCACGGATCATAAAAGACAACCACGATTAAGGGACAATGATAGGCAACAACGATTGACCCGTGAAGGTTACACCTCATTCATAATCCATGAGATTACTAACTCCATATGGTTCGGAACCACGAAAGAAGGATCGGGGATGATGGTACGAAGTGAGTCATGGAGTCACATTCGCCCGTATTGGCCTCTACTCGATTCTTATAGTGAAAAGTGATTCCTGTGATCTCAAAGACATACAAACAAAATATTCAATTCGCTCCAAACTATTATTAAGCTAAATTAGTTGAATATTAATGCAACACATTATTCTAAAATATTGTGATCACTTGATTAAACAACAATATTAAAATGAACCTAAACCGGTTGTCCAAATTATCTTATTAGGCGTGATTTTCAATTACATATTCCCATTAAACATGCAATATGGCGATCAATAAATATAATAAAATAAACATTAATATTGGAAGCAGTTCAACAATAATAGCGTTAGCCAAATCAAATATAAAATTAACCTAATCATGATACTAGCAATATTTAAATAAAATAAGAGTAATTAAATTAAGTAATTACTCACATTTCGAGCGTTCCTTTAAATCGCTACATATGAATAAATTGTTAGTAATTTCAGTAAAAATATAAATAAAATGAAAATTAAATTAAATAAATGTAGATTTAATTTGGTCCAAACCCTCAGTTAATTATAACTTTCACGCCTTGGTTTATGTATAGAACTTCGGGTATTGTATGGACTCCTTGGAGCGCTTAGGGGAAGTATTATGAGAGAATTGGGTGGCTAATGTTTAGGCTAAAGAGGGGGAAGAGAATTATTTGATGATCAAGATTGTTGATGATTGAAAAAGGGGAGATATGACCTCTATTTATAGAGAAAAAAAAGAAGGGTCGAAGAATTAAGATAAGATCCGAATTAAATCGGAATAAAACTCGATAGATTGCAGTCTTTGCGGTTTTTGTTTTTATCATATCTTTTGATCCAGAAATTGGAATAAGATGAATAAGATATCGTTGGAAAGCTCTTGAAGTCTACTTTCTAACCCAATTAGAATCAGATTAAAATATTCTATAGAACAAAAGATATGGCCGAAATAGTGAGACGGTGTCAGTTTTGGATAGAATTTGATATTTTATTCATATCTTTTACGTTATAGCTCGGAATTGATATTAAAATATATCATTGGAAAGAAAATTTCAAGGGATATCCAACCATATAAAATTTGGATAAAAACTATGAGGCACGAAAATAATATATGTCTATCTTTGAATGACTTTCAATTCGAATAAAATTAAGACTTTTAAAAAAAGGAGTTTTATTCAATTTCAAATTATTTAATCTTATCTTTTCGAAAAGGATAATTAGGATCTTTTAGAAACTTATAGAAGCTTCTAATTAATCCTAATTGGTTTAGGAATTGGATTAAATCATTTGGACCCTCCACATGAACATTGGGTTGTATGTAAGGTGGGCTTAGGTTCGATTTGGGCTCAGTTTAATATTTTGGTCATAACTTATTCGTTATAACTCGAATTTGGGCTTATAATATATCGTTAGAAAGCTCTTTTAAAGCCCATCCAATTATTAAATCATTGGGCCCAGATTATGGACCAAAATAAACTGAAATAAAAGTTTTTATAAAAAGGACACGAAATGAATGATTTTAAAGGACACGAAATGAATTACTTTGGATTTAAAGGCACAAAAAGAGGAAAATAGGTTATGGTTTGGGGAAATGGGATAGGAATTTGGTTGTTTTATGAAATAGAAATATGGATTTAAGCACTCCAAAGATTAAATACTCAACCTGACCAATAATGGCGGTGATTCGGTGAAAGGTTGTTCATCATCGGTTTTGGTTTTGGGGAGACATTTTTAGGTGTCTACACCCATGCTCTAATTTGTCCCTTTCTTTTATAAGTTTTCTAATTTTCTTTTAAGTAAATATAATTTACTTTTAAGTATAGACTATTTACTTTTAAGTTAATATCATTTACTTTTGAGTTAATATTATTTATTTACTTTGATGCTATTTTAATTTACTTTTTAGCGTTTTTATTTACTTTTAAGCTATTATGATTTACTTTTGAGATATAACTATTTACTTTGATTTCTTTTTGAGTTATTTTAAATTACTTTAGAGATGATTTTTGATTTACTTTTAATATATTTTGAATAACTTTAAAGTGTTCTCATATTTTGTTTCAGAGAACCTACGTAGAAATCGAACCTTCACCTCTATGCATCCGCATAGTGCTCTACCATTTCAGCTAATAGGTTTAGTTTTATGTCTTTTTTATTCACTTTATATTGATTTACAGAATTGGTTTTTTCTAAAAAAAAAAGTTCTTTTGAATTTATTTATTTACCTCAGAGTAACTTTTATTTACTTTTATACACTGATTCCTCAAGCATATAATTTTTTTTTTATTAAGGTTGCTACCCTGCCTGCCAAGGCAGCTGCTGCAGCTGCTAGCCCTACTAGCCCTGCCAAGGCTGCTGCTGCAGTTGCTAGCCCTGCCTGCAAAAGGTGCTGTTACAGCAGGTGCCCTGCCTGCCAAGGGTGTTGCTGCTGCAACTGCTGCCTTGCCCCGATAAGGTGTATTGGACAGGCCCAACTAGGTTTGAAGTTACACGTATCACAATTTAAATCTAATGTATTAGCACGACATTAACATTCTGTAACAACTACTAATTTGCAATCACTGAATATTAACAACAAACAACAAAAACACCAATTATCCAGCACCACAACCAGCAAATATGCACCAAACCACCATAAAACCAGCAATATCAGTCAAATATCATCAGATTAATTGAGCAAAGAAGAGACTTACAATCAAGCGATGAGCATGCATAAACCGTGAGAAGTTCAGACCCAGCTCCCCCTGAGACAGTAGAGACATAGAGTGAATATCACAGAAAAATGATAACAACACAATCACAAAAATAAATATAAATATTGTTTGTTCTGTACTGATAACAAAATTATAGAAAGATTCAGAAATATTATTTGATTACAGAAGAGTTAAAAATGTAAATCCCCCATTAGGCCTTTATTCCATCTTCAAAACAATCACTCGACATTAAAAATGAAACAACAAAAACTCAACAGAGAGTTGCAGAGCAAAGCACACAATATAGCAGAATGTGTAAAATGTGGAAGCAGGAGTGAAAGCTAGTTAAAGTTCATAATGCACACTTCATATGCTAAGGAAAAAGAATTTCATACTCAGCAGACATTTAGAGACTCCTCACTCATTAATGGTAAATTGGCAAACGTTCAAAAACCAACACAGCAAAAATTTTAATTCAATTCCCAAGTTTTGTAGAGCTAAATGAGCACACTACTACAACTAAAATTATGGGATAAAAATTGAACTCCTCGTAGATCACTTCTTCTTCTCGGTACCACCAGCAGACCTGCCCAAACAACAAATTAAACATATTTCATCAAAAGGTAGTGATAATATGATACTCTTCTTGTCAATAGCAACCTATTAACTGAATGAGAATATAGATTAAATAGTGTCAAGTACCTCATCGATCTTCCTGAGAACATTTGACATCTCTCTCTTCCTCTTTGCCCTCTTATGAGTTCTCTTTGCCAATCAATTTACTTTAAAATATAATTGATTTACATTTACTTTGTTTATATCTACATTTTAAATTGATTAAATAACAGGATTCATTTTGCTAAATAGTTAGTATGCAATCAAAAAAATTATCTTTAGAAGATATTACAAAGTAATAGAGACTACAAAATTAAATACCTGATGTAATGTTTATCTTATTAAATTTACATCAACTGGAAGACGAAAAACATCAATAATCGGTATCAAATAATCAATAGTATAATTTAATCAAATTCATATACTATATCTGAAAAATATAGCACAAATTCGAGCACCAAAATTTTCCAATAAAAAACTAGAAATCTAATTCTTAAAAATTCAAACAAAAATTGCGAGTACTACATGAGTGAAACTAAAAAAAACCTAGAAATTTGATTGAACAAAAATCACCATGTTTACCTGTATTTTTCATACAATTCGAAGCGAAATCAGCAAAATATACAACACCATGGACGACTTAGCAACAATCAGTAGATAATCTGGAATTTCACTATTACGAACCCTAAATTGACTAGACTAACAACAAATTTCATGAAAAACCACATAAATTTTATGGCAGATTTTGAGTAGATTACCAATTATCAATGGCAATTTTTATCAAAAATGGCGAAGAATTGAAAAACTTCTTGAGGAGAGAGAAATTCATTTAATCTGAGACGTTGATCGAACGCCTATTTGTGTTAGATCTGACGGTTCAGAAGAGTTCTTAATTCCTATTATAAACCATGTTCTCATTATAACCCGGTCCTATATATATATATATATATATATATATATATATATATATATATATAGAACGATCTCCCCAGAAATTGTTTAAATAAAAATTAATTCCCAATTTGCATCGTTTAAAAAACTTATTCCCTGAATAGTGTCCACGTAGGGTCGGGTATAGTATTAGCTTTGTATTTTTTTTTAAGGGTAAAACTGCAATCGATGACAGCGGTTATACAAACTAGTTCTTACACACGTATTTTACCGCATCTGACATCTCCCCCCTGTCCGAGTGTCTTCCACTCTTCCTATTTCTCTCTCCTCAAGTTTCACTGTTGTTTTGTTTTTTCATTTCAAACATTTTCTTTCTTCTTAGATCTTCTCACTCTTCTTTCTCTCTCTAAAACACCAGTTTTTATTTGTAATTGTATTGTCTTCAAAAAAAAATTGTAATTTTGTATTGATTTTCTTAGTAATTTCGTACAATTAAAAATTTTGGGTGATTTTATTTTGATATAAACTCACTATTTTTTGGGTAATTTTGTTTTGATTTAATCATTTGACACAAGTTTATTAAGAGTATAAAGACGTTGAAACCAAAGCCGACTTATGATGAAATTGAAGATGAAGATGATGTTGAACTTGAGTAGAGTAGAAGATGACGGAATTCATGGATGAAGTTGAGAGCTTGGACGCCATTGAAATTGCTGCGATTTAATATCACTATTTTTTGGGCAATTTCATTCAATTATGAATTTTTTTTTTTTTTACTTCATGTTTTAATTTTAGGGAAATATCTCAACATCAACCTCAAGAACTTCAAACAATTTTGCACAAAGAACATAAAACCGTTGCCAACAATTGCGGTTTTGCAAATGTAAAACCGCTATCACTAATTGCGGTTTTAAACCGAACCCAAAAAAAAATACAAAGCTAATACCCGATCCTACGTGGACACTATTCAGGGAATAAGTTTTTTAAACGACCCAAATTAGGAATTAATTTTGATTTAAACAATTTCTAGGGAAATCGTTCTATATATATATATATATATATATATATATATATATATATATTAGTTTGATGCCCGGATTGTTAGTTGAATTATAATCTAACAATTTTTTTGAATAAAATTATAATTCAATTTGTACATGTATTTTATCGAAAATAAAACTTTAAACTAACAATTTTATCCTACAATTCTATTCAAATAGAATTCTAAACTAACTTGAACTTATAAAAAACCAACTTTTTTTTTTATCTTATGAAGTCTATTTAAATCTATCCAACGTGGCGTGACACTTGGCGAAAAGATGGAACGCCAAGTGTCGTTGCCTCGTGACTTGGCTAAAAGTTTAGCTTTATATATTAGTTATATGATATGTATATATACACATATATATATATATATACATATACATATATATATATATATTTTATAACATCACAAAAAAACCAAAAAATTGGTTTCACCACCACTTAACTTTGTCATAAAAAAGAACCGTTAAGTGGGTCCTACACGATACACATGTCAATCATCGATTAGATAAAAAAACTTGAAAAAAAAGGTTAAAAAAGTTCCTAAAATGCTCAACCAGTCACCACCGTCGGTGGGTTCCCAGTCTCGCCACCCAAACCCAGCCCCCAGAGCTCCAAAAACGCACTGAACCAACATCGTTACCCATACTCAGCCTAAGAACCTCCGAAATCGTCACCAAACCATTGTAACCCCAACCTAAACCAGTCGAAATCCCAGTCCACACCGTCGTCGAACCACCGTAACACATCCGAAACCACCGCCGTCGAACTCCACCGCCTACCCATAACCGTCGCCAAACTGCTGAAACCCCAACGAACCCACACCCATATCCGAACCCACAAATCTTCCTACTCATATCACCCTCACCTAGACCCAAACCCGTACCTAGAAACCAAATCGGGGCTGGTTTGTGGGTGACAGCTGGTTAAGGTTGACGTTAGAGTAAGAGATTGGGTGGGCTGGTTTTGTTGGTTGACGGTGCATGGTTCGCAAGGATTAGGAAACAGAAGGTGGGGACTGGGTTGGGTGATAGAAGGTGGGGATGGGTTGGGCAAGTGGGCGTCGGTGGACAGTGGTGGCTAGGTTTAGATTTTAGGTTTTTTTTTTTTTAATTTTTATTTTACATATTTTTATCCAATAAATAGTTGACACGTGTACAAAGAGGGGCCCATTAACGATTTTTGGATGGCAATTTTTTTTTTTTTTTTTTAACGGGGATGGCAAAGTTAAGTGGTGAATGTATGGACATAATTTACTATTCAAATTTTAGTCTAATTTGTTTACATTTGTTGTAAAAGTTGTTAATCATGTTTTTCTAACTTTAATTGATACTTCCTCCTTTTTTTAATAGTTGCAACACACCTTTTTTCACGATATTTAATAAAAGTGGGGTTCACATGGTTTAATATACTTTAAAATAGGGTGCGAGCACAAATTATATGATGCACCATGGTACATATACTCTCTCTTCTCTTTCCTCCTCTACTTTCCTAATTTCTGATTTTCTCTCTTTTATTTTCTCTCTCCTCTATATTCTCTCTATTTTATTTTTCTTTCTCTTGAATTCGTTAATCATCCTTTAAATTGAATTCCTTCATATTGTTGATCACCATAGAGTGAATTCCTTCATAATTCAAATTTTGTTTTCTTCAACCTTCGATTTGAAGCTTTGTTAATGGAGTTTTACAATGAAGTAGTGAAGCTAAAAATGGTGGCGTCGTCGAATAGAAGGTGGTTAAGACGATGGTGTAATTATTTTCCGATGAGATTTCATTATCTAAATCACCATGGCTAGGTTTGAGTTTTGAAATATGTAGCTTTCATATTCTTTTGATTTTTGTAGTGATAATTGTGCATTTTGATATGAACAGTTTTGTATTTGATTATATTTTAGTATTTTGAACATTTTATGTTAAAAATATGAACACTAATACGTTTTTTGTAAATACATAACATGTATTTTTATAAGTGACTTTTATGTCACTTTTAGGGTATTTTTATGCTTATTCTTTGGTTTAGTTTTTTTATAATTTTCCTAGTTTTAGGCTTTATTTATCTCATTTTCTTATTTTCCTTATTTGATCTTTATTTTGAGTATTTTTGTAGTTTTTAATAGATTTTAGTTTAATTTCGTAATTTTATCTTATAATTTTTTTTCTCTTGTTTTCTTATTTATTTTAGTTTTGTATTTCATTTTATTTTACTTCGTTATATTTTATTATTTTAGTCTTTGTCCCGATTCTCCCTTGTGTATTTTTTTTGTTGTAGGTTGTGTTCGAAGGTCCAAGGTTCGAGTAATATGTGTCAAACCACAAGCTTCCAAGCATCAATTTGCTACCACTCTAACCTACACCACTCTATTTCCTTATCCTACACCACAACTCCACCAAGCATTCCTGCCCCTAAACCAGCAGCAACAATCTGTAGCCCAAACCACCCAAAACACCTCCCCTGCTTCCCTCACTTCACAAACACAACTCCACTCACAATACCACCATTACCACCAGTCACGCATTCCCACCACCAAACCATTTCGCCACCACTCACAGTGTGTCAGCCGCAAAACACAACCACAACAACCCCCTGTTCTCACACCAACCCGCATCTCACACCCCCAAATTCGCACCTCCCTCACTCAAACACCACACACACCAGCCCACAACTCTGTTCCTGTCGCACTGACAATCCCCCGTATTTTTAAATATGTTATAAATGAAATTTAATTTTATTTATAATATTATTTTGTATTTTTCCGTAATTTAATTTCAAAATATTCAAATTATTAATTATGGTCAAAAATTATTTTGGTACAAATCATTTTATGAACCTTCATTCTATAATTTATTTCAATACAACTAAAGCTTAGTCCATTTCAATCATTTGGCCCATTAATTTTATGAGGCCCAATCTTTCTATTTACCCTACAACATTCTCCCCTATAAATACCCCATTAATCCCCAAAATTTTCCCACACAAAAAGGTTAGTTTTATTTTCTCCTTTGTTTTATTAATTTGTATAATTATAATTATTGATTTATGGGTTTTGATTTTATTGTTTGAAATTAATTTAATTAGTATCAAATTGTTTTTTGATTAATAAATTTGATAATTTCAGATTTTATAAATGTCATAATTTTCAGATTTTGTAAATTTTATAACCTAGGGTTTTTAATTATTGGAAATCATAATTTTAGGGTTTTTATGAACAATTGATTTAGGGATTTTATAGTAATGATGTTTTGAAATTTTGGTGATTATAACTACTGATTAGTTTAACTTAATTCCAGATTATTTTGAACATGTAAATTCCTGTTTTAAT